CACATACGGGTAATTGCAAGGTGATTGATATTACCTCACCTGATTCTGATTTCATGGACTATAAAGAAGGCTGTAGTATTTTTTTTTTTCTTCCTTAGGCGACAATACTAACATTTTTTAAATTTACCAATTTTTATTCTTAAAACCTTGACAAACCAGTTATGTGTGATATAACTACTTAGTATTCTGTTTTAAAAATTGAAGTCAAAAAGTAGCATGCCGATCTTCGAATGGGGCTTCTTTATAGTATCCATGGCCACCGTTATTTTGCATAAAATTCATGAAAAGTTGGAAGCCTTTTTGTAAATATACACACTGCAGTTATTCATAAATAAATTAAAAAAATATAGTAAACCCTTACATCCAATCACAGCGCTCCAAAGTTGACTTCCACAAACCTGCCTTGGGAACACGAAAGGCCAACCTAAAGCTGGAAAAATGTAATACTACTTTTTCCCTATACTATGTGGTGTTAGTGATAACTGTTAAATCAATCACAACTTTTCCAGATTTCCAGTTTGACATATTATATATATATTTTGCTACTGTTTTGTTTATTTCGTGTTGTCAAGTAAGAGACTTTGCCTAAATACTGTACCATTATGTGAGTATAAGACGAAGTCGGTTATCATCTGATCATAGATACAAGTCAGTATCCACTAAAACATTGGTTATAAAAAGAAGATGTGGTATGATTGCCAATGAGACAACTCTCCACAATAGAACACATGACATAGAAGTTAACAACTATAGGTCACCGTACGGCCTTCAACAATGAGCAAAGCCCCTACCACATAGTCAGCTATAAAAGGCCCGAAATGACAAATGTATAACAATTCCAAAGAGAAAACTAACGGCCTAATTTATGTACAAAATAATGAACGAAAAATAAATATGAAACACAGCAACAAACGACAACCACTGAATTACAGGTTCCAGACTTTGGACAGGCACATACAGAATGTGGCGGGGTTAAAATAGTTTTGTTGGCGTCAAACCCTCCCCCTAACCTGGGACAGTGGTGTAACGGTAAAACATCAGAACAAACTGTGCAAAACAATAAACGAAAAACATATACAGTGTATGAGAAACAGCAAAAAAAGACATCCACTAAATTACAGGCACTCTTAGGTTGAAAGATGTGAGTACAGAGACATCATAAATTTATAGTATAAATAGCTCCCCCTGAACTAACTGAAAATTCAGGAAAGATGTGCCAAATACGGCGAAGGCAATCTATACCTAGGGGTAGAAAAACTGTATTTCGTATACTTCAACATTTCATATACAGTAATTATAAGTCAATTGAGGATAAAGTAGAGCGCACCTGCCACGTGCGGGATTCGTTTTTCATTCGTTTAATGTGTTTGAGCTTTTTATTTTGGCATTTGATAAAGGACTTTCTGTTATGAATTCTCCTTGGAGTTCGGTATTTTTGTTATTCTACTATTTTTTGAACTCACAACCTCAGTGTTCACAGGCTAGTGATATAGTAGTTCGACTACTTAGACCACTCGGCGACCAAGGCCCCTTAAATTTACAGAAAATAAGCATATCAATGATATTCCATGTCACCACAGAACTACTGACTCCTCGGCTGGTGATATCCTCGGGGTTAAAACATCCACCAGCAGTGGCATCGAACCAGTGAGTGTGAGTTATGTCTATTCCTGTATGATAAAATGTAGAGCAATTAAAAAGATTAAAATTGCGAATTAAACATATAGCATTAAACGATAGCAATTATAGAAGACTGTAGTATACGACTTTTACCTGATTTTATGCACATAAAGAAAAAGACAGGTTTAAACAAGTTTTCTTATCGTTCACCTCGGGTAGTGGTTTTACAGTTCAACTATAGGAAATTCTCAGAGAAATATTATTGAAGGGCTAAACCAATCTACTTTGCGCACACATTCTGTACTACGCAAACACAAAAAAAACACAAATAACATGATGATAAGACACAGCTCGCCTATTTTTGTATTCGCTGTTACTGAAAGATAGTTTGAAGCATAATTTGAATGAAAAGATGATTAGACCATGTTTTCAACTGTATATCAACTTGAAATATCTGTTGAAAAAGAATGGCATTAACATACATGCGTCTAACCGATCCATTTCACCGACTTATGCCAATCTTCAACGTTATCCCTGATAAACATGATTATGCGATTTTCAATTTAGATAGTCGTAATCCCTCGTGGGAAAAAATTATGCTGAAGGTAGATTAGGGTTCAACATTGAAAAAACGATACACATTTTGATCCGTTGCCAAAATGTAGTTTTATTATGCTATTAAATCAAAAATATGAGACCAAGTAAATGTAAGGGAGCAAGCTTCTGGTTGTGCAAAATTTATGTTTTTTTTTGTATAGGTTATACACGGAATGATCACTTTTGAGTGAAGAGAAAACAATAGAATTTTAAAATAGAAAATGAGAACAATAGCTCTTATAATGTGTTTTCATTTGTCGTATCCACTGTTATGCCCTTCTTTCCACGAAACTAACTGGTTGATTTAAGGTTTTTGTTATAGATGTGTTTTGATTTATTAAACTCTAGACTACATTAAACAAAAAATAAAATCTGCATCCACACAATGGAAAAAAAATTAAATAAAGTCCGAAATGCACTAAAAGTCCTTTAATTAACTACATTTTCTCCTAACCGGTTTCACATTTTTGTGACAATCATGGATGCTAATATAAATGAAGTCCATGAAAAAAGTATAACAAAAATACCGAACTCTAAGACAAATTCAAAAAGAGGAAGGTCATGATGTCGTCTCTCATTAATCGATTTGACTTTTGATTGTTCACTAGTTGTCTTCCTCCTTTTTTGCTAATAATGCACCGCACAAGCCTACGTCGTGAAATATTTTTAAAGTTTAAAACACGGCAAAATTAACCCTCTCATTTCATTTCTTAAAGTTCGCACACAAACCTTCTTGTAGGCCAAGAATTGTGAAATTAATCAAGACATTTTCTACCACATTTACAAATACAATTTATTTTTAACTTCTATATTGTAAAATTAATGCAGCATAATGTCCTTTTTGCAACTTTAACACACTTTATGATTGAAAACGACAAAGCAAAGTAATTAATGCGGTTTGCTCAATAGGAATTGGCATAGATATACGTAACTATCCCGACTAATTGAGTTCCAAGTACTTACTTTGTTTGTCATCAAGTTTGATTGGAAAGGACATATATCTAAAATTAATAGCGTATACAAATAAGACCACCGTGTAGTCTTCAAAATTAACTTTTTCAGCTTTTGATTTAGATGTAATTTATGTTATATAATTTAAAATCAATAATTCTTAATTAATTCTGGCTTCTGCTTTCGGTACACTTCTCATTTTATTAGTCAGAGAGTAGTCAACTTTTGTTACGTTTCATCTGAAAAAAATGAAAACAACACGTTATAAATGTCATGCGTCCGAAGCAATTTTCTAGATTTTCCTTCACCAGGAACGCTCAAAGCCGAATATTTAAAAACCGAGGACGAAAACCTTCATGAAAATTCAAACATGTATTCGTGTCGATCCTATTGTATTCTAATTTTAGAAAGTGTGGTCTTGGCAAGTTTGTATTACTAAAAGACATTAATTCCTCATTAGTTATTATATGTTTTGTCATCAATGATGAACGTTATAGTCATTTTGTTACGCTTTTAAAGAGAAGTTTTGTGATCTCCATTTCAAAATTGACTTATATGGCTCAATTTATGGTCTTCTCGTAAAAAGGGAGATAACAATTCGAACAAAAATTCGAACATGCACTATGTATATGAATAAACGAAAAAGTGGTGCATTTGTCGATTCGATCACAATCCAGCTGCATAGATATCAAAAAGACATCGTACATGTAAGTACACAATTAAGTCTTCAAATAAAGACAGGTATCTACACAAAATAATATGATCTGGATTGTCCCGAGTTTATAAAAGTTGTCCGGATTAAATAGTTGTACTTTTTTTCTTCTTTACGGTTCTGTCAGCATTGCTTTGTTTGTATTCAGGTTTTTTGATTGTCGGAATACAAATCTAGGTCACAAACTCTGTTACCATAACTTTAATAGAATAATGATAGATCTACCCAATTCTCCAAATAAAAAAAACTTAAGATTTGATTTATGACAATGTGATTCCTTGTCTTGTACAGGCGGATGAAAATTTGGTCGGGTTCTTACTAATAAAATATAAAATTGAGAACGGAAATGGAGAAAAGAGCAGAAATCAACCAAGGCAACCAATGGGTCTTCAACACAGCAAGAAAATCCCGCACCACGAAGGCGGGCTTCGGCTGGCCCCTAAACAATAATGTATACTAGTTCAGCGAAAATGGGCGTCACACTAAACTCCGAAACATATAAATAAACCAAAATTTAAAAAAAAAAATACAAGACTAACAAAGGCCAGAGGTTCCTGACTTGGGACAGGCGCAAAAATGCGGCGGGGTTAAACATGTTTGCTCGATCTATTCACCGTTTCTCTCCCTTTTCTTTAAATAGTTCAGTAGATGAACACAACATTCATTTAAGAATATAATAAGGCAACTAGTAAAATAAATGACTTTATAGCTCTACAACTGTATTATAGATACATTTGTAGCAAAAATAAAAAAAACCTTCGAAATCATACAGTATTAGACATTCCAGCCACTTCATAAAGCAAGTTCAAATATTTAACCTGCTGACAAGAAATATGATGTGTGTTTTAACATAAAGTTTTGCAATTTATGAAAAATTATAAAACAAAAAAGTGAAAGAAATTATATCAATTTCATAAAAAGAAATTACCTGAAATCCTAGCTATGAGATTAAAAGATTATAGCGCCGTTACTAAACAGTCGATAATTAATTAATGTTTTACATGCTCTAACTTGGTTGACAGTTCTTTCAGAATAAATAATACTTTTTAATTGCACGTTCACACTACTGTAGTCATTTAAACAGATCAATATTAATATATTAAAAAGACTTGAAAGGTGAAATTCAGTTTAATCGACGCATGCGCTTTTACTCGTTGCTAGACGCTTAAAGTTGACTGCAGACTGTGATAAAAACCGACATCCTGTTATCTCATTAAAAAGGTAAGTTGTTTTTAAAGCTATGCTTGAACGCTCGAAATTCTAATATATCTTCCCTTTTAGTACCGAACGATTACATGTCTCAATTATCCAATAATTTCACAATTTTCTGTTAAGAATTTTACGTTTCAAGATAGCCTTTTATTTTCACAGTAATTCCATACAACAGAATAATTGTAATATTTTATAAATCCAGCTTCATTGTTGTCCTGGGAGAAGGGAGGATAATTTATGTCATTGATTCAGCAATTTATCGCATGGCACACTACAATCAAGTGAACAATCTAATCTGCCTCTGATGGTAAAAAACCTGCTGTAATAGCACTAAGTAGTGTTAGTTTTAAACATGTTTTTGACTATGATAATGTGTTAATTTATAACAAGTATGTAAATTGAAAATTGTATATAAATATAAGTGGACGATTTTACCTTTCCTGCCTTTTATACAGGTGCTTTAAATCGATAAGATTTCAACATATATAAATATTGGTTGACTGGATTTAAATACACCTGACAAAAGTAGGAAAACAAATTAGAAATGACATTATTTGATCATGCTTAAGAAAATCCGTCTCAACATATCTATGTATATACAAAATCACTCAACGGTATTTAATATTAGGAAAATCAATGTAACTGGCGTGAGGGATTATAAAGAAGAGATATGTGTTTAGTAACACAGAAACCAATTCACCTACTCCAATTTAGAACATATTGAAAGTAGCCCTTCCCTGACAAAAATAGTGCTTTTGATGTCATTGTTCAGAGGCGGATTTAGGGGGGAGGGGGCGGGAGGGAAAAATTTGGTTGATTATATAAGGAATCACTGAAGCATGACTGGAGCGGGCCCCCTCTTAGGCAGTCAGTGGGCATCTACTTATAAAAATTTCTGGATCCGCCACTGTTGTTTACTTCAACTAACCAACAAATTTGCAGAAAAACAACTTTGGTGAAAGAGAAATATATTTAGACCATGTTGAGCCAAAATTTACTTGTCTATGAGTTTGCATTAATGATTGAGGGTTATTGCGCTGCATGTATAGTATACTTATTTAAGATTTCCAGAAAACCAGGGGTATATTTAGTAGTAGTTGCCTTCCGAACGGTCGTGTTTCACTACAAGACTTTAAAAATTGGTTGAAAATTAACATGTAGAAAGGTGGTACATGTACACTTCAAGGTATACCTGGTTTCTATGAATTTAAACTTAAGAAATTTTTTTTTGAAAATTTAAAAAAAAATGGTTGAATAGATAGGGATTTTGAGTTTGTGGTCCGACACCTTACGGATAAATTTTCGGTGAAATATTATCAAGAATTATACTAATTTGTCATTTAGTCTGTTTTCTTTTGGATATGGCGGTGTCTGTCTTTCCCAGGATTTTGATTTCAGATTGGTATTTCTTGTATGTAATAACCATAATACAATAACATATTTTTTTAAGAACCCCCAAAAACATAAAAGGAATATAATAATGATAAATAGTACTATATGATGAGTGTACTTTTAAAAGCAAGACAAAACAAAAGTGTAGCTACGTTGTCTATTGAATAAATTAAGTGTTAATATTTACAACTGAATATATAAGCGGGAAAATTTTTTGAGTGAGGTGTCACAGTTTCATACAATGTTGTAGAGTTCAAAGGCAAATATCGTGCAACACGCATTAATAAATATATTAAAAGTCACATAGATACGGAGTAGAAATACAATTTTATTAAATTAAATGCAAAAAAACATACGAGTGAATTTTAGCAAAAGAAGAAATCCTAACTATACAGATGCCAAACAACAGAGGGATGAATTATTTTCACAGTTTGTTCTAATTTATGTTATGCTGTAACACCACTGTCCCAGGTTAGTGGGAGGGTTTCAGCGCTCACAAACAGGTTTAACCCTGCCACATTCTGTATGTGCCTGTCCCAAGTCAGAAACCTGTAGTTGGTTCATGTGTGTCATATTTGTTTTTCGTAAATTGTATTTTTATAAGCCTTTAGTTTTATCAATTGAATTGTTTCATATTTTTCATATCGTGGCATTTTATAGCCGACTATACGGTATGGGTTTTCTCATTGTTGAAGGCCGCACGGTTGCCTATAATTGCTTACATCCTTGAACTTTGGTGGATAGTTGTCTCATTGGCAATCATACCACATCTCCTTATTTTTATGTAGAACGAACTGGAAAAATATAAACCTGTTCTTTTCATTACACATTCCAATGTTGAAACCAATATAGTGATAAAAAAGGGCTTGGGATACAAATTTAGCACTATAAAATATATCATAAAGTTAAGATCATCCTAAGACTATCCCAAGACATCAAAAGTGGTTTCCTTAACTTTTCGGAACATTTGGTCCTCAACGCTCTTCAACTTCGTACTTATTTATTTGGTCTTTTTAACTTTTTCGATTGGAGCGTCGCTGATGAGTTTTTTGTAGACGAAACGCGCGTCTGGCGTACAAAATTTTAATCCTGGTATCCATGATGACTTTATTTAGGGCATATCCTAATTTGCAACCTGTTTGATAAACCTGCATACGAGGACAAAGATATATCTTAAGATAGTATTAAGACAGGTACTTCGATAAACAGGCCTCTGGACTTGTCCCATCCGGTAGTGAATATCACAGCGCAATTTTGTGTGTTCGGAGTGTAAAAATACGCAAGTACGGTAATGCTGGGGATGCCATTTGCAGTCTAAATGTTAAGTCTTTCATCCCATTTGATTCACTTTGTGGAACCAGCCTTTTGAAATAATTTGTTGTCGTCCTGACTTTGCATCAAGTATTTGCCACTGGGTGTTAGGCAAACATCTATCAATCAAACATACAAACCGACTAATATTTGCCACTGGGTGTTAAGCAAACATCTATCAATCAAAAGTAAAAACCGTCTAATTTGGAAATCGCTTTTATTCTTGAAAAATTCCTTATTTTAATTGGGAATTGGAGATTTATTTACTATCGTTTGACTAACGTCTAATAATAAATAAGGTAATTGTCTTCAACAATAGAAAGGATATGTCAAAGCTTTATATCGCCCACAGTCTATACAAGTTGTAAAAAATTTAAATGAAATAACAAAAGATCTGCCATCAAAACCTTATCAAAATAATGAAAATCAGTTATATATAACATACAACAACAACTGACTTAAACTTAATTAATATCGAGTGAACTTGTTCTTAAAAAAATTAACATCTATCTACTGAAAATCGTAAGTAGACGTAAAAACTGAAATCACTACGTTGTAGACAGTGGAGGTGATCTGAGTTGCTCTAAACCATTTAAGTCACTCATTACTCCCCCCCCCCCCTTTTCCAAAAAAAAACAAACAAAACACACACACACAAAAAAACACCATGCATATCCTTTAACCAGTCGACAGCTTAAAGTCATTTCATATTGATGAAATGTTCCATGTGCAACATGTTTTGATGTCGTTTTCCCAAATACAAAAAAAGCAAGCTTAATATATATTAATGCAAAACAACTTCTAATGATGAGAGCACCAGAAGAAAAAAATACTGAATCAACGAAAATGTTTAATAAAAAATATCAATTTGTATTTTACAGATGAGCAAGTCGATAACAATTGTTCGTGGTGATACGGATATAGGTGGTGCTGTAGCTTGCAATCTTGCCAAGAATCCTGATTTGAAGATCAAGGCAATTGTCGTGGACACATCAGCCCCGGAAGTCCAATCTATGAAATCATGCAACGTCGAAGTTGTTCAAAATAGTCTTAAAGATGTAAACGCAATAAAAGACTTACTATCTGGGACAGATGGATGTTTTATTGTTACAAAATCTGACTTTACAAATCCTCAGTTCGTAGAGGACGAAATCGAACAAGGTCAAAATATTGCCGACGCATGCGCTGCAGCAAAAGTTCCCCATGTTGTTTTTAATACACAGTTACATCCCTTTAAAATAACTGGCATTTCAGCTCGACATCTGGTAGCCAAAGCGGAAATTGAAGGATATATAAGACAAATAGGATTGCCTGTGACATTTATACTTGTTCCATGCTTATATGAAGATTATTTAAATATTTTGAAACCTTATGATATGGGACGAGGATTGTATGAAATCGGTAAGTTTAAACTTTGAATAGTCATAATAATATACAGATCATCCATAATATATATTTACATATGTTGGCTAACTTAATTGTTCCTTATTCAAAAGTTTATTATGTTTGTCAAACTCATCGGCAAAAGAAATCTTTCCCATATTAAGAAGGTTAATTTGAACAAAATTTGCTTAAATTCGTGCAGTTTGGGCTAGTAAATTTAAAAAGCACAAGAAATTATAAAATTCCAGTCACCTCAGTACTTCACTTGCAGCGCTACTATGGCATACATTTGAGGAAGATTTCTACCATGGCAGTCAGTTTGCATTTTACAATCACCGAGTTTCAAATTAAAATGTCATCTGCTTTTCAAGTAAATGTTAACCCATCAATTATCTTCGCATACGCATAATTATAATGGAGTAGTGCAAGTTGCATAGTTAATTATGAAGTATTTTAAGAAGAAATTAACAAATGAAATTTTGTTCCATGGATTATTGCTGGTGTAATTGTAATCTTAATATTTTACCGAGTTTAAAGACTAACTATACGGTATGGCTTTTCTCATTGTTGGAGGCCGTAAACGTGGTGACATATACATTTGCTTACATTCACGTCATTTGAATATGGTAGAGTAGTATTTACATTGGCAATTATGTCACATCTCCTTATTTTTATATTACTTCCATATATTTTTTTCAGTAATTCCAATGGGTGTTATACCTTTCAACATGATGAGTGTAGAGGATGTTGGTGACATTGTTGGTATTATATTTTCAAATAAAACTGCATTCCTGGAGAAAACATTAAGTGTATGTGGCGATAAACTCACCGTCAGAGAAATGGCAGCATATCTTTCGAGGCATCTAGCACCAACACAGTTCAAAGAAAAACAGGTATTTTATTGAAGTACCTTACTAAACGCAATTCTAATATGACGTCCTTATTTCGCTTTGTAAACAAATCCGTGTTTTAATCAGCACAAAATATGTTTGACACATGCGCACAAAATACATGTTACTTTTCTCTCTCTTGTTTTCTTGCACTGTTTCGGTACTCTTAATAATTTTATACTCACTCCCATTGAAACAAATGCACATTAAATATAATATGAAAACTACATATTACTAGTAACCCTAATTTTTTCTGATATACTCGGCTCTTAAATGTCTCCCATCAAGGATTTGTATAGTGAGACCGGTCTCACTATACAAATCCTTGCTCCCATGTAGAGTTTTCTCTCTCAAGGACCGATAACTCTGCATGGGAGATTGAAAGTTTGGCGGGAAAATATGAATGCCTACTCAAATCCAAACTGTTAGAAAAATCGAATTATTACAGAAGACTGTCCACCATGCACTTGCACTGCACTATTATTAATATAGTAGAATAGAATGATATACAAATGGATGAAAATTATATATACATGTAACTGTAATATACAAATATTACTTCAATATCATATTTATTACGGTGAGGTTGAATTCCCTGTCATTTATTTATCATCCACGCACGAACTTGTCTAAGAAAAAAAAAATTATATCTGTACATTAACCTCACTTTCAGGTACAGAGATGTGATTTTTTTTCTGAGACAAGTGATTGTTACCATACACAAGAACTTGCAGTCATCCGTTGTTTAGTACTTCAGTACTTTGATTTTTATAATTTTTGTCCGAGATATACTTAGCAATCAGAATAAGCATATTTTAATCACACTGCTATTTACCATTCAAAAAATAAGAACATTGCAAAATTATTGTGATTGGATGTCAATGCGATCTATAACTGTGATACGTATTCTATGCAATATTGTTTACAAATTCTGTCTTTACTTGCAGCTGACGGCCTACCAGTTTGCGCAACTAGGACAACCTTGGTCTCAGGACTATGCCAACATGTTTGACTTCATTTTACGTGTCGATCAACGGTATAACCTACAGGAAACCAGGAAAATCTGTCCAAAAACGCAGACATTTGAAGAATGGGTGAAAAGGAATGTAGGAAAATTAAAACAAATTTTCCCGTGATTTTAATTCCACTTCACTATTATAGGTTTTACTGAAGCAGTATTTTGTAATGTGTAATGTGATATTGTTATTTTGCCTTTTAAGTTTGTGATCGCAATTATTGTTATCTTGTGTTCAAATAAAAAAAATATGCAAGTTATACCACAAATTAATGAATTATTATCTTTCCAGATAACCGTGTGAAATCAAATAACTACTTAATACTTTTTACTTGACCAAGCTTTTCATGAAGGCGTTAAAAATCTTTCAGTCACTACTCTTTTTAGTCTTAAAAATAAAATTCATTTGATAAAATTATTTATCATAATATCTCATTTCTTTTTCTATAACAATAAACTTTAGTACATATAAAAATAAGAAGATGTGGTATGAATGCCAGTGAGACAACTCTCCACCAGAGACCAAGTGACATAAACAGTTAACAAATATTGTTCACCGTACGACCTTCAACAACGGTCTTTAGTACATATATGTTGCTATTTGCGAATATTAAAGAGTGTCGCAACCGTCCATGCTCAGTAGACTCCTTCCACTTAAAAAAAAATTAAATAATGTTACCAAAATAAATCCACTAGCTTAATAAAATTAGATATTTTTTTTTTGGAATTTCTGAGAGTATACTGTTCAACGGAATCGATAACGACTTTTTAAAATATTTATTACTCTTAATGTACTATTTCGGGACAGAATTCAAAGAGGGTCGCATTTTATGTAAATTGCCAAAACAGGAAAATTAAATAATATGTAGCCCAAAAGAACTCGTTCAGATGCAGCGTGTCTTCAAAAGTAGATGTCGAGTAGATGAAAAATAGAGGGTGCATGGGGATTAAACGGGGGAAAATATTACTACTTTGAAATACATCAAACGGAGCTTAAAATGTTCGAAAAAAGGACCGAAATACTAAAAGGATATCTGCAATGCAATTTTCAACAATAGACATCAAGTCAGTATATGTTAGTTACTAGTATACTGCACAACCCGGTCACCCGTTGACTTGAACTAGTGGTAGTAGAAACGTGTGAAAACAAAGTTTATTATTATAATAGCACAAAACCCTTATTGATAAATAATGGAAAAGAAAGGATTTTATCAATTCATGACACTCACAAAATCACTAAACGCATATGAAAAAAACCCAAAGGACCAAGGAACAGCACTTTCATTGCTGTTCTTTATCTCAAAGTGACAGTGAAGTCTTCAATGTGGAGCAAAAACTCACACCTCATTTGTAAGTTTAATTCAAACCCTAGAACCTAATTGAGCAGACGTCTTCTTTGGAGTCGATTGAAACTGCGAGGTAATAACTATACTCCAATCACCTTGCCCGCCAGTTCGTCCAACAAAACATGTTCGTCATTCTTTTCCCAGGAACAACTAAACAGAATGACTATCTTTTCAGATTTGTCTAAGTTCAGTTAAAAACGTGTTTGAAATGCATATATGTTGAATGAAAACAAATATTTTTGTCACTCATTTCTAGTGAATCACTGAACAGAATCACATCATATTTGATCAGTCAGTTGACGATATTGTAACACGTGAGTTCTCTTTGGATCTGTCAAACACTTACTTCCTGTTTTTCGATACTTTGAATTACGAGAGGGGATAGACTTAAAACGACAACTTACGCAAAATCTTGTTACATCTAGCAAAGAAATCTAACAAATACTGTTATAAAAAGATCGCTGATATATCTTGGCAGGAAACCTGTCACATGGCACTTCCGGTCACTGATATTCTTTCAACAATGGTACCAATCCAGTTCGAGTAATAAAAAAAAGTTTGAAAAAAAGTTAAACTTAAAACAGTTGGTTGTTATAATGCTATTCGATTTAGCGAAAGCCAAGTTCAGTGTTATGTGATAATTTATATGCAACTTTACAACGATTGTTGCTATATTGTCTCGTTATTTTCGGAATTTTTTTTCTTGACATTGAGGACGATATCTTAAATACTATTTCTGGTGCAGTAGTTGTTACAATTCTCAGTCATGTCATAATTTTGCCTATATTTCTGACATACTGGTGTGCACTGTGACATGCCGATGAACAGTATCTGACAGTTTAAAATTTCAATGAAAATTTAATTTGACTAGTATGAAGTCACTATGAAAAAATAATTTTCAGCAATACTTTCACATTGTCATTCATGGATCTTCAATATAATGATTAACAAAGCCTAGTGATCAAAGTTATTTGTGATAAAATATCTCTATTATTGTTCGACACTTAATCCTTGCTAAAGTTGTCGTCAAATAGGATGGGCGGGATGTATAAATACGCAGTCACGTCTGATCGGAATTACGGACGTTAATTCCGATGTCATATGTAGGGTGAATGCCATATGCTCTTCTCTGTGCGTTAAATCCTTGTGAATTCTATGAACGATCCTTATGTTGCGTTATACAAGGCAAAACTACTGCTATCCAACATACCATTATTTACCAGTGGCAGTTCAAATATCCCGTCCCTCGTCCCGGTCGACCTACCTTAAAGAACCTTCGTACTGTATCATTAGTTTGTTATCCTCCAGAATATGCATGAAATATTTACCTCTGGACGTAAAACAAGCAACCAATCATTCCATCAGCCAAGTTATGTCGTCCAGGGTGAAGGGCCGAACATTTGGACACCCACTGAGGGTATGATGGACAGAGACATAATTTTTGTCTTGCAAAGGCTACCTACAGACCCATCAGAGAGTTGTAAGAGTTCTTGAATATTTATACATCCCGCACAGCCAAACGAATATCCACTTTAGCAAAGGTTTTATTGCCGGACAGCAGAATTTCTGGAATTACCATATTTGTATACCTTTTATACTCAATTCGAATAGCTAAATAATTATTTAATTAAATGTATTTAAATTTCTTTGTTGTCTCGTTTGTCAATATTATACAACCGGCTGTGTGGGATGTACCAATACACAGCCAGGTGAATCGGAATGTAGACGGTAAATCCGATGCCTCTTGTATGAAAAGTGTAACGATCTCCGAACGTACAACAACTCTTACAACTCTCCGAGGGTCTGTAGATAACCTTTGTAAGACAAAATTCTATCTCCATCCATCAAACCCTCAGTGGCAGTTTAAATGTCAGGCCTATCACTCCTGGTGATGGTTAATTCAGAAAAGCGGTTCCGATGCATTCAATTTATAAAGTGCTGTTTTCGTTTTTGTCAAATCGCACTTTAGCAAACAAATGACGAGGAAGAGTTACTTATTTTTTCATACACATGTACACGAGTGAAACAAATTAACATGATAATAACGTTATACATGTACATATATAATGTACATGTACATCAGATGAAACCAAGCAACTACTAAATGATAAAGAGATAATGATAAGTTTATTTATCTACACAGATAGTGATGACCTGTCTACAAAGATAATGATGACCTGTATTTTATTATCATAATTGAACACATTACACATAAGGTATGAAATTTTATTTATTTGTCCAATAGTTTTCACATCTAGTTTTAAACTCTTTGCTTTGGTGTTAGTTTCATGATTGTTGTCTATTCTCATATTCATTATCTTCAAATATTTTCTTTTCATTTGAGATGACTGCATGTACACACAAATATTAACTGATAATCGGCGACACTATTCATAAAATTTGTGAATTCTATGTTTTTTAAGATGAGCTACCAAAAACCAAAGAACCCCTTCCCCCATTTCGTGGTTGGGAATACCGATAGTAGTCTATCATTGGAGTATATTTCATTTTTCAAAACATTATTGTTCAATTGTCTTTTTTTATCTCCTATCAAATGTGCCTGCAATAAATGTTTATGCCAAATCACTAGTATTGCTGTGGTTCAAATTAGATTAACGGAAAAAATCGAAATGTTTAATCTTGCACCGAACAAAATATTATAACCCTGTGTCTTGCCTGCGATTGCTGCTATCAAGTGAGAGTAAAAGTGTGATGCTGACTTTAAAAAACCGCTAAGTCTTTTTATCAGTTAAATACAGAAAATGAAGAATATATAGCAAAGATCTGCTCATCTTCACTAGCCAAAGGGTTACGATCTAGCGAAGATGAGATCTGCTCTGGATACTGTCTTTTAAAAGCTTCTGTCCATGTTTCATAAATTTTCATAAAGTTTTGACAAAGTGTTTATGTTTCATAAACTCTCAACCTAAACTGTTTATAGATTCTATCAGAACAGCTACTTTAGCCTGTTTATCAGTAAAATAAGGAAAAAAAATAAGATTACAAACATTTTGAATACTCTGAATATGGTCATTTAGTCACGAAGAAGATTCTGTCAAAGTTTTGAATAATTCCATGAAGGTTTAACAGAGTTATTGATGTCTAAAAAAACATTGCATCGGAAATAAACACATTTATTCTAAAACCAGTTGTTTGCATGATACGGGTTATGTTCTTCTCTAATATTTTATGATGGTATGATACTAAAACCCTAACGGGAGGGATTGTGCTTGATTTTCATATGACGAAGACTGGGCATAATACTTCAATCAGTTTAATTTAGGTCTGCAGCTGGCATGTCCGTAACTGATAGTAGTCCTTTGTTAATTCATGTATCATTGTCATTTTGCTTAGTTTCTTCTGTTACCTATTCCAACATCGGACTCAGACTCTTTTATACTGCGTTTTACTGTGCGTATTGCTGTGTGTTTGTTTATTCTACATTGGCTAGAGGTATAAGGGGAGGGTTGAGATCTAACAAAACATGTTCAACCCCGCCGCATTTTTGCGCCTGTCCTAAGTCAGGAGCCTCTGGTCTTTGTTAGTCTTGTATGTTTTTTTTTAAATTTTGGTTCGTTTATATGTTTTGGAGTTTAGTGTGACGTCCATTTTTGCTGAACTAGTACACATTTTTGTTTAGGGACCAGCTGAAGCCCGCCTCCGGGTGCGGGATTTTCTCGCTGTGTTGAAGACCCATTGGTGGCCTTTGGCTGTGTTCTGCTCTTTAGTCGGGTTGTTATCTCTTTGACACATTCCCCGTTTCCATTCTCAATATTATTTAACTGAGCCTAACTGTTGACGACGCCGACGTTGACGACAGAATTAAGGATTTCTATGTCTCTCTTTTTCAAAACATACTTTTATTATTACTTGATTAATCTGATAATTATTCCCTCTACAAATTACTTATGCTTAAAGAAAGGAAATCTGTATTTACTAATCATAGTTATCATTTATATACCCATGGTAAAAGAAGCACTTCTGTATTTTCAATTTTTTATCATTTCAGGGAGAAGTGTTATAAAACTGATGACCTTCTTCATAACACATTATGACAGAATCAGGTATGGAATAACGAAGATTGACAATCTGTCTTAACTTATGTGGCCTCAAATGGACAAGTACCTTGAAGTTCATAATCTCCCTTTTTCCTAGGATCGGGGAAGACCATTTGATATTCGGGGCAAGGGGTTGTGAAAATGAATATTTTTGGCCGTAGCTAATAAGAACTAAAAATGAATAGTCTTGTCCAAGACGAGGATCGAAGCTAGAAGCTTAGCAGGACTTCGGGAAAGTTCGGAGAGCCGACGACATTGCTTCGGAAGTTGGCACTAAATGCAGCCATTTGCAGAAAATAGTTATGTACAAAACAGATAGTGAATGTTGTTTAAAGTAATGGTACTGTAACTCGTTTCGTTTCTTTTCGATTTCCAATAACAATAAATAAATGTGGTATTATTGCAACCATTCACCAAAGACCAAGGATGTAGGATGTAAAACAATTAAGAATTAAATGCTTCTTTTTTTGTAATTTTATTGGGGTGTAAAAGCGTTGACCGCAGCAAATTGTTGACGCTTCATACTAAAAATGTCCGCACGATCAACGCTTTTACAAAACTATAAGATTACTAAAAGAAGCATGCAATTCTTATAATTTCACCATGAAATTGTGAGTTATAGCAAATTGTTATTTGTTTTCCTATGCATTGTTGCAACGTTATCACAAGAAGCACGTGCTGCCATGAATGTTGAATTTTATCGAGAAATAATATATTGATATTAGAATGCTTAGCGATTGATTTGAGTGGCTTCTCTGTAAGGTTATATGTACTTTTAAATTAGTGCCTTCCTTGTAGGTCTAAATGTACTTTAGTGGCTTTTCTATAGGTTTATATGTACTTTAGTGGCTTCCCTGTAGGGTTATATGTTCTTTAGTGCCTTCCTTGTAGAGTAATATATACTAGTATATGTTTTATTTGGTTTCAGTTGCACGTGTACTACGTTCTTGAAAACGCTAGACATTATCTTTATGAAGATAGACATACAATTTATCAAAACTTTCAATTTTATAAAGGTCTGATTCATTTTAATGCAGCTTTTTTTTCTCACTACAATGGAACGATACAATTATACAAAGCAATAAAATAACATCATGATGTTTAATCTTCATGCAAACAACAAAAGTTCAAAGACGGCGAAAGTTCAAGTGATATTTTAAAGGTGTTTCGTTAACTGTTGTACCTCAAGTAGAATAAGCTTTGTGTTTGTTCGCGGTAGGGAATTATTCTCTCGTAACTATATCTTTGAATATAAGAAATGACTTTTGGACATAGTCAAGAAAAAAAACTCATTTAAAATCATTTGTTTCAGAGTATACATATACTGATTCATTCAAGGTTACTGACGATATCAAACAAGCATTTGATGACAATGGATACATCATGATCAGGTATGAAGTGTAGTATGTACACGTGTATTAGTCTTAAATTTTCTATGTTGTGTTTTGTGTACCGTGTTATTTGTCTTTGGATCGTTTTTTTCTTGCCATGGCACTGTCAGTTTGTTTTCGACTTACTAGTTTGAATATACCTTTGATATCTTTCGCATCTCTTTTGCTAAATATAATAGTTATAATGTAGTAGTATAGTACAATGTTTCATGTAGGCTAGGACTATACTTATCAATATATTTTATCCAGATATCCAAGAAGTCGGTTGGAAAGTTTTTAACAATGTGCCTTTTTAGCATTTGTGACAGAATTGTGTTCTACGGACTTTTGTTCAATTCTTTTCCTATACTCCTTTCCTATATCTATACTTTCTGTTAACAGTGCTTTTAAAAAAATAATTATTGATACGATCAACAATATAAGTTGATTGATGGAGATAACTGTCTCGTCATTCGACTCTTCTCGTTCATGGATAACTGAAAGAATACTTTAAGTTTCAAATGTTTTGACATTGTACTGTAACAGTTCATAGTTTTCCTTAATTGCTACTGTCACATACTTTCTTTTTTGTATGCTTTTTTTTAACAAATACTAAAGATTGAATACATGTTCCAAAATGCCTAAAACAATGTTCTGTTTTGGATATTTATATGTTACAGTGAATTTGTATAATTAGAGATTTTGTAAAATCTCTGTAATTTCAGGAGTTTTGTATAATCCCTAGGGGATTTTAAACAAGGATTTTACAAAATCACTGAAATTAATAGGAATGTGTCATTAGGTTCTCTGATTAAATTCAGGAAAATTGTAAAATAATTCATTGAAGAAAAAATGAAAATAAAAAGCCTACTGCAGTAACGCTTAACAAGTTTGATGAAAATTTGTCCTATATAATTGAGCAATAAACGAGCAGTTTTCAAAAAACAGCTGTGACCTTGAAGAGAAATTGCTTAAGTGCCTTGTGTCATGAGCAAACTTACCAATAAAAGTTACTTAGAATAACTGAGGAAAAAATAAAATGTAATATGTGGATACGGGAGTTACAAATGTTTATGGGGACATTTTGGAACTGATTGTTAAAGGACCAGAGAAAGAAGACAACACAATCTTATATATCTACCTTCTTCGACAGGGACGGTTTATTCTAGTGCTTTTGTAATTACTGAAAAGTATAAAAATAAATAAATATCTAAATTTAAAATCAAAATCAAGGCATTGCATTGACGTGGTTACCGTTCTATGAGAGAAATAAACACATGCAAATAGTACATGCACATCAGGACCAGAACATGTTAATGTGATAGGAATATGAACTCTGTTTTGTGCTAGACCAACAGACTAAGCCGGAACATTCTGTATGTACCTGTTCCAAGTCAGGAGCCTGTAGTTTAGTGGTTGTCGTTGGTTTATGTCTGTCATATTTGCCTTTTGTAAATTGTTTTGCTATGAATTATGCCTTTAGTTTCTCAATGGAATTGTTTCATGTTTGGGCCTTTATAGCTAACATTACGGTATGGGTTTTTCTTATTGTTGAAGCTGTACGGTTGCCTATAATTGCTTACATCCACTTCATTTGAACTTTGGTGGATAGTTTTCTCATTGACAAGCATACCACATCTCCTTATTTTTTATATGCTAATTCACAAGGTAACAGTTCGAAAGAAGACATGTCATCCTATCCGGACACATTATTCTGACTCAAACACATGGAACGAGTAATGAATGATCCTCATCGTAAATTTTTCATGGTTGATCATTATAAAGGAATTTTTAATATCCTATCTTAATATAAATGTTGTCTTATTACATGCATATTGGAAAAGTCACTTCTATCCACACAAGAAAATAATAAAAAAATTTATAGACAACAGATATTCTTGACAAAAATACTTTGTAATGGAAATGCATTTCAATAGATAAATTTAGGTCACTAACAAGGCAAAAGTAGGTCACCATGACAATTTATTCATGCTTCACTTACTTAGGACTATCTTAGATACTTTAATATACATGTATCACATCCTTTACATGGAGTGTCAACACCTTATTTTCTCTACTCTTTTTTTTCAAAATCAGATTAAAGATAAATTTTGTTTAATAAAGGTATGAGGTTTTTCAATGTTGAGATGTGAAAAAATGTAAATAAAACCAAACTGTATTCATCAGATAAAGTTATCCAGTACTATGTTTTTCTAATATATATATTATTAAGAAAAGTACATTTTTGGTATTAACTTTAAACTTGCAAATAGGGCTTTTTACAAAATCCCTAGCAATATAATTCTAGTCATTTTATAAAATTACTAACAATATTTTCAGTGATTTTATAAAATTCCTAAACTGACTCTACTGAATTGATATAAATAATTTAAAATGACTTATAATAATGATAAGAAGAAAAAAAAACTAAATGATTCCAAAAGAAAAAAAAACACAAATAAAAAACTGATGATGATGATGATGGGAGTTTTTAACGACCTTGACTGGCTATACAGCCTTTTCACGGTCGGCCCTGGCTCGCGCCTTTTTGGGCACTTAAATAATTTGTTTTTATTATAAGGTAATTGAAATAATTTGAGTGATAGATATACAAAAACCTAATATGAATAAAAAGTAAAAATTAGCAAAAATTTGAAGGATAGAATAATTAATAAATAAATAAATGAATAAAATAGAACTTAAATAAAATAAAAAACTGTAGATTACTTCAAAACAATATACCCTGTGTTCAGATTTTATTACACACATTTGATAGATAAATATATAAATTTTATAAGATTCGTCTGAGATTACTGTCGGGATCCTTTAATGAAATGTCGCAGATTTACCTAATATTTGTAAACTTTAGATGACATGTTAATTGTCAAACTCCTGTCGGTTTTTTCCGTTTTTATGGTAATTAGGATGATCTCACATTGACACCAGTCTCATTCTAGGGTAATTTTCGATTTGAAGTATATGACCAGTAATAAATAAACGTGGCTTCGTGTGGAGTTGACGATTGTATTTCCTGTCTACAGGTACATGTACAAACACCATAAAATATAAATATGTATATATATACATGCTTGCATATTCTATCTCACAAATGAATCTTCGGACAAGACGACAAATTGACTAAAAACGTTAGTGTTTTGGAGAACCATTGCTAAGCGAAGTGAAGACAAACAGAATTTGGCGAAGCATTAGCAACAGAATCTGGTTGAAAGACTTGTGTCCAAGAAATTTACACCATATAAGGTAGGATGTTTAAGAGTTTCATTTTTCATTTAGTTGCAAGTTACCGATATTATAACAAACTGCAAAACGTCTCCTTTTCAATATTTCATTTTTCTTAAAATTCCAGTACAAAATATAAACATGTATAACATAAATCAAACACTTTCATGCTATACAGTCAGATCAAAATTATCATAAAAACAGTCTGCTCAGGTTGAAATTAATTAAGGTGGTTGTTTGAAAGGCGTTTATTTTAAAGTTGTAATTGTACAGGGACTTTCTATACTAACGTTAGTATAGAAAGTCCCTGAATTGTATAATCGTTACATTTTTTTTTATAAAAGAATGTTTTAAATATATTTTTATAAATACTTAACACACATGTATACAACTATAATGAACGATAAAACCAGAGACATATAATACAATTGTATTATATGTCTCTGATAAAACGAAGGTTTGAAATAATTTCTTTTTGTAAATAAAAAATATATTTATTCATAAACTGAGATTTGATATATGTGAATAAAAAGAGAAGTATAGCACTGAATTGAACGTTTAGTTATATATTTTTTTTTATTTAATTTTAATTGTATATAAAATGAAAGCAGCGCGTTACGTTTGATCGAATTTGCTCTAAGTTTGCGCGATGAAACCCATTACGTTTGCACGAAATTACCTGTTCAAAAGTTTTTACGTTTGCACAGATTAATTATTTTTCTATAAATAAAAATATTTAAACGTAGAATTTTAGATAATTTTTTAAAAATGCATGATTTCTGAAATAAAGCAAAATACTGCAGATAAAAAAGTTTAAAAAAAAAAAACGTGTTAAAGTGAAATGACGGATGGATTTTACTATCTCGGAGACAAAATGGGAAAAAGTCCTTGCATGATATTCGATGGATATCCTTTCTGTGTAGATATATGGTTGAAAATTGAAAATGAAGATATTTCCAAAAAATGAACCGAGAAAATATGCAAATACAGGATAAGAGCTGATCGTGGATGTAAATTTTGCTTACAGGAAAACAATGAGCACAGTCGTGAAAGTGCGCGTGCACGATGAAAGTAAATGAAAAGGACAACTAATCATTCTGATTATACTGCAAGTTCTGCGACTACGTACACTAGTATCAAAATACGCGGTAAAAATATCCCAGCTTATTAAGCGTGCAGACAAGTACAAAATTCAGTTCAACAAATCTTGTCTTCGTATTTATCAAGTTTAAAACACGGGTAAACACTCAGGTAAATTCGCGCAAACATAATACATGTCAAAATTCAAATTCGCTCAAATGTAGGTCGCCCAATGAAAGAGTCCAAAAGAAATTCTTGTGTCATGATTGGACTTTTTGGGTGTTTATGGAAGATACATGTACATTTGATTGTTTCTTTTTAATTTATGCACTACTTTTATACACTCTTGGCGATTTAGAACTTGCAATATTGTAAAAACACCTGTCAACTGTTGAAGACTTTTTTGGTGCTATATAGATGTCTTTTGATAATTTTTGCCGTTGAGTTGGAAAATTTTGTATTTGTCGAAAGGGACAACTGTCTTCTTTAAAGTAATATTAAACATCATTTTGTATATTCTCTGGTTATTTATGACAATTAAGCATTTATTGATTTTTTTTTTGGGGGGGGGGGGGTATCCGGGCTATAACGAAGTGGGTAAATGCAAGTTATTGAACTGCTGATTAGAGGGCCCAAATGATTAGATATGTATATTACAAGTCATTCTTTAAAAAAAAGCTGTTTATTGTCAAAGATGTCAACAGGGGGTATTACCTTCTTTGAAGTTTACTTTTGTCAAATAATTTATAATCATGTATGTTCAAATCGGGACATTTTATTTTCACATGGGGCACCGATTTAAATTTATAAATTATGTGTGGTATTGATAAACTGCAGTAACTTGAAAAATATAAATTTCAAAGCAAAAACAGATATCTATATTCTGTAGACTGGTTCGGAAAAGGGAAGTTCTAATGTACATGTATAACTATAACATGCATATGGAAATTAGAATTCTACAAAATTGTATAACAGAAAATGGAAATTGTTTGATCTTTTAAAGATACATGTACAAAGTCAAAGATACAAAGTCTATCCAAATTATTTTTGAAAAGAATTCCACTCAAGCCGGTGCTGGGGGCCGTCTTAAACTTGCAGTGAGATAAGAGTTTTTTGCTCCGTGTTGAAGGCCTCACTGTGACTTTAAGATGTAGAACAGCAATAAGAGCGCTGTTCCTTTGCGTTTTGTGTTTTTTTTTTTAAATTTTTTGCTGTGCATGTACTGATTTTGTGTCGTGGATGGATACCCCATATCCTTTGTTTTTTTTTTTATTATATATGATCAATATTATAAAACTATATCTCCATGGTAATATATATGTAAGTAATACAAATCATTTTCATTTTCAGTAATATTTGGTGAAGTGGAAAGGTTACAAAGAAGAAGAAAGTACTTGGAAGCCAAAAGTTAACCTGCCCGTACCAGTAAGCAAAGAGTACGTTCATAGCCAAATATCAGATGATTATCTAGCTGTTGTGGCTCTTAAGTTTGAACTACCAATCCAAACAAGACTCAAACACAGGAACAGCAAAACAGTCGTTGACTTTAATTCACGGATATTTACTGGTTTAATTGCCACTCAGTGAACATTGGCTCTATAACATTAATAACGCTTGTAGAGGTTATCAGCTACACTTTTCCGTCATGCAGACTCCAGCCGAAGCTGTTATCGAAGTAAACATTAGCGGAGAAGAGAGAAAAGTGGCTAAAATGTCTGAAGAACTTCGTCCAAAAATTGACAAATTTAAACATATGCTTTACACTGGCTCTCACTCTCCTTGCCTTTCTAAGAACTTTGCAGAAGATCCACAGTTGTGCCTTACACTTGACTTGACTAGTTTATTTGTTAAAGAAGTCGAAAAGACAAAGAGTGATTTTCCCGCCTTTTCTTATGTTGACATTATAAATTCCCAGCTTCATGCCTATCAACTAGTAAACTGTGATAGGCTAGAAAATCGATTTTTCTCATTATGTAACAAAGTAAATTTGGATTTGAGAACTGCATATCGCAGTGGCAGGAAGCGTCAACTGTACAAGACACGTGTTTTCAAAGTGGCAGTTTTCCAATATGAAATTATTAGTGGTCAAGGATGTTAATATTCAGTTACAACATTTTAAATTTGAAAATTTAGAACTTGAAAACAGGTTTGAGTAACTTTTAAGTTTGCATCAGTCAGAAATTATTTCTGTAAATGATCCGAAAAAGCAGATATCTGCATGTAATAGAAAACCCTTTAAAGTTTGTTGGTTAACAATAAGAACCTTGTAGTTTATGTAAAGAAATAAAGATTTTGACTCTATACTATCATTTATGAAATCTCGTTCCATTCGTGAGTTGGAAAAAAGTTTTAAAAAGCCCACTAGTTTGCTGAGTCCTTAGGCCTTATCCCTTATCTGTTAACTTTCAGTAATAATGTGGACAGTACTGTAGGTTGATATTGACATGACAGTGTCTGAATTAGGTTTGAAATAAAAAATAATCTAGACTTTACCAATAAGCAAAGGCATAACGATGTCATTATGGACAAATTAGGGGTCAGGGATGCTGATTATCATGACTGAATGACAGTTGGATCATTGTCATAATTTGCCTCAATATTTAATTTGTCAAAGACAATCAGGCTTTAAAGAAATTTTTCATATTGAACGTACTCTTAGCTATGTTCATAGAGCCTATGTCAGTATGTATATAAATGTTGTTTAACAAGCGGTGTTCAGAGGCAGATCCAGGATTTTTTCAAAGTAATATATACCGAAAAATTTTGGACGATTTTATACTAAAAATTCAAATACATATATCGTATATTTTGTTTTGCGATCAAAAGAGGATGCATACGCCCTCTACGCCCCCTGGATCCGCCACTGGGAAGGTACAAAAGTAAGCCGAATTTCTAGTTTTTTAGTCATTCAATTCACTGTTATAGATGATTTTCTTTAGTGTCCATGGACAAGCAGAAAGTGACAGGAATATAAAACTATTCTGAGAATTATGGGGTGATACACACAACATGTCATCCTATTTTTTTAAGAGATAACACATTTATTTCAAGGGAAACATAATGTTGAATGATAAAGCTGTGAAGATAGAGATAGTTTTTAGGGGAAACATCCTGGGGTTTTTTCAGTTGATTGTAGGGTAATGAGGGGACCAATTGGGAACTATGCGTGTCCCTGGTGCCATGTCCACAAAGATGAACGGCAAAATTTAGAAAGAGATTGGATTGAGAGATAATTTATTTCCCAGACATGTCAAGAATACAGGATAATTACACCAGAGTGCAACAAAAAGGAAATTTTGGTCAAAGCTTCTACCACTGCTGAATATTGAACCATGTAATGTTATTCCAAATAAACTTAATCTTTTGCTTCGTATTGGCTGCGGATATTTTACTTAATAGGAACATTATAGATGGATGCCAAGTGATTAGATGACTGGATAAAAAAATACGGGAGTGTGGGGTTTTGTTAAATATTTGGCATTAAAAGGGTCAAAGGGAAAACTCGATTGCATTGACATCTAAACAGGGTCTGATTACAAAATTATGTTAGGCAAGTTGCCCGCGAAACTCTGTTTTGCTATCAGCCATGACACTCATGGAACAACCTTTAAACTTTGGACAGAGTTTTATACTATATATCGGTATATATATGTCATGAAGTTCACACTTTATCCAAGATTCGGTCAATTTTTTGAAAAATGTAAATCTCGCACACATATTTCTGTCGCAAGGAGAACCGAGAAAGGGTTGTTCTACTAAATTGCTTTTATCGTCCAAATTTTTTTATCCTTAAAATATACATGCATAAACCATTTTTTATTTACAGAATATGTCTTTTTATGCACAAGTATTCCCTCGTTTCAGATAGACTGTACCAGATTACACATTCACTCATAAATTTTGCATTAATGATATACTTGTGGCCACTATACATACCAGTACTTTTTTTTGTTGATACATAGTATTGTACATGTTTGACCATGGCACTGGTTACTGCGTTGTGACACTCGTTTATGAGGAGAGTCAATGAAAACATATGACAGAAAAATAACCCAAAAAATCGGCAAACCTCGGCAAATTCCGCTACCCTACATCTAATAAAATTGTAACATTTGCCGAGGTGTGCCGAATGAAGCAAAATAGAAAGCCTTTTTTAGTCACAAATCTGAGAAATAACAAATTATGTAAGTTATGAATAAAGATTCGGGCACTGTTTCAACAATATTTCTTTATATGATGTTTTGTATAATATTATATATACATGTATTTATTTGTATTTGCTCACTGTCAATTTGTATGTATGCAGTTAGTTGTAATGGATCTGAAATCTGAATGTATAATGATAAATATTAAGTAAAAAAAATATGTTTCGGTTTTTTTTCAACGATGTTAATCGTTTATCTAAAACTTTGAGTGACTTTTTTTAAAAGCAACACTGATTCTAATATCTATACACCCTATTGGTATAAGTTGTCTCCACAAAGTTTCCAAATTATTATTAACAGAATCGTTACAAACACATAGTATAGTTCACGATTTCGAAAGAAAAAAAACAGATAATAAAAACAAAAAGATATGAAGATAAGTAGTTCCAGAGCAGCAATAAGATGTAATGTGATAAATCGAATGACCTGGTGTAATTAACAGGAGACAACTCTTATTGTCAATTCCGTTGTAGAGTGTTGGGGCTGTTTACCGGTATTATACTAGGTACTTTATCGATATGATTCTTTACGGGCATGCTATCCTACTATCTCCTGGCACAATATCTTGCTTTTTACTGTAAAAATGAGGAGATGTGGTATGATTGCCAAAGAGACAACTATCCAAAGTTCAAATGAAGTGGATGTAAGCAATCATAGGCAACCGTACGGCCTTCAACAATGCGAAAAACCCATACCGTGGCATACATTGCTTTTTACCGGCAGTCCTTGGTTCTTACCGGCATACCTTGCGCTTTACCGATATACTTTGCTCTTATCCGGCATACCGTGTGCTTTACCGGCATACCGTGTGCTTTACTGGCATACCTTGCTTTTTACTGGCATTATGCCATGTTGTTTGCTTACATTCTAAGACCTTTTTTACCAGTATCATTCCTTGCTGTTGCCAATATATCACGGCGTCTGCTGTTACAAATATACTTACATCATACCTTGGTCTTTACCGATATGCTCCTTTTGCTTAACGTATATACACAAATATTAATAAAAGAAAATCCCTTTTGTACATGTGTAAAGGCTGCAAAGTAAATTACTGTCAGCAAAGAATTGAAATGAACGTTGACAATTCATATACAATATTATCATTGTAGAAAAATGTTTGACGAAGAAGAAATAAACCAAATGAAGAAAGTTCTCGAAGATAGTGACATGGCACAAAAATATGGATATGGTGTTAGTAATATGTATTCCAAATACAAAAGAAGAGGGGTTGTGTACAAAATCATGACACAAAATTCTTACAATCATGGAGTTCTAAATCTAAAATAATGGATCAATGCTTTTAGGACTGTTTTTCATCTGAAAGTGTTGGCCGACAACACGTATCAGAAACTCGATTTCACCGGTTCGCAAATTCAAGACGACCCCTAGCACATATTAGAAGCATGTCTTTGCAAGATGTTGATAACGCTTCATCATTGTCAAACTCCGAAACAGTGAAAGGTTACCAAATCAACGTCACCGCTGTTTCGGAGTTTGCATCAGTGCATTGAACCAATAGATGTGGAATACTATCAACCTACAGTAAATGAATTCTGTTTTTCTGTCAAAAAGAAAAGAAATAAGAAGTATTTACTTTTTTTTCTTTTCCCCAAACCACACTGGGTATCCCTTTTATAAATCCGCGGTGTGATCCAAATTCTGGGAAGCAATTACACGAAAAATACAAACGGTGTAGGTAAAATCTGGATACGATTCCCAAATGAGCATAATCCTCCGTGGGAATCTGTATTATATTTTACTTTCCCGACGTTTGCGGTCTCGTGTAATTGCTCCTAGGGATTCGGATCCCTCCGCTGATTTCAAATCGGGATATCCTGTGTGAAAAACTGATTTCCTTAACAGTAGGTTTATATAATTCCACAACTGTTGCTTAAGGATGTACCTAGGTGAAATTAAAAAAATCTAGAATTTAAAATTGATACTTTTAGTCAGAAGAGCATTAGTTAAGGAACACAATCAGCAAAAATATTGATACTAGTAGGTTATGAAGCTCCTTTTCGAGATATCTAATTTTCAAAAAATGGCGGGAAAAGGCTGACTGGGACTTTTACCTTATATTTGCATTTGTATTATTTGGGTCTCAAATCGAAAGATATTAAATTTGGTAAATGACCTTTTACGAGCTATTGAAGTCTTATATGAAAAGAAAAATGGGTATTATGGGGCAAAATATTTTACCCTGTATCGTAGAAAAAAACCCAAGGAGTCCGAACATTTGATAAAAATTCCTAAACCTGACCACAGTACATCTTTAAATCATAATAGATGCATTGATAACATTGAGAATGGAAATGGGGAATGTGTCAAAGAGACCACAACCCGACCAAAGAGCAGAAAACAGCCCAATGCCACCAATGAGTCTTCAACACAGCGAGAAAATCCCGCATCCGGAGGCGGGCTTCAGCTTTACTCTAAACAAAATGTGAACTAGTTCAGTAAAAATGGACGTCACATTAAACTCCGAAGCAAATAAAAGAACTAAAATTAAAAAAAAACATACAAGATTAACAAAGGCCAGAGGCTCCTGACTTGGGACAGGCGCAAACATGAGGCGGGGTTAAACATGTTTTGTGTGATCTCAAAACCCCAAACCCCCTCCCCTTCATACCTCTAGCCAATGTAGAATAAACAAACACACAGCAATACGCACAGTAAATTCAAGTTTAAAAGAAGTCCGAGTCCGATGTCAGAAAAGGTAACAGAAGAAACTAAGCAAAATGACAATGATGCATTGATGTAGAGTTATCGATGTTTATTTGAATTTAAACATTTCCTTTACTTTATATCCACGGTAACTGTTGAGAGCAAGAAGGAAAATAAACAATACAATTGACTTATTTTTATTTTAAAATGATTTGTACACAACAAAATGAATAAGAACATATATATATATATTATATAGTTACCAGACGGACAGGGAAAACAAGCTGGACTTGTTATATGGAGTCACCCAGGTGATGACGTAACAGGGATCGTCTCAAGGAGTGAAAAGGTTGTGGATACATGTCAAGAGGTTTGTTTGTTACCAAGAGTTTATCATCCTTTTCTTATCAATTGTGCAAAAGTCAATTTTCAAAAAATCT